GCCTATTCACACATGCATCACAGCGCTAGTCACCTTGAGATTCGATCGGCACGGCTCACACGATGAATAGCAAGACTACGCTTTGTTCTACGCTTACTTGGAGCAAAACGAATGCAGCACTCGCGCACTATAATGAACTGCTAAGAGCTCGTGCTCTATACCCTTGTCCGTGCTCTGTGTCGTTAGTGGTAATGCTGTGTCTCCAGCACGGTGTATACTTTAGATGAGGACAGCGCGCTCCTCGCGACGTGCCGATAAAATTCGCTTTTCACTCTCTCTCTCTTTCTCTCGCTATGGTTTCAAGCGGCGCCGGCAGATGACTCGTTGACCCGTGGGCACTTAGGGTGCCTACATGTCTGTCTGTCTAAGGGTGAAGACATCCATTGTTGCCCTGAATCTGCCAGCGCGTGACGCTCTCGTGCACTCGGTGCGTGACAACGTTACTAAAACACTCAGTTGGGAAACTCCCATAGAGACAGCTTTGAAAAAATGGCCCCAATCTGTCTCCAAGCACCGAGCTAATGACGAACACAACGCCACCATTTCTCCCGCAGCGGCCTCTCGAAGAACTGCACGTGACTTCTATTTTGGCTTCAGAACAGATACAGCGGTAGAGGTTACAGGGGTGCCACCCCCGTCTCCCCGACGGACGCGCCGCGTTCAACTACTGACGTTAAAATGCACCTAGGTCAGGACGTGCTACCTGAAAGGCCCGCTGAGGCATGGTTGTATGAAAACAATATTAATTGTTCCGCAACACCTTGCAAACTAAAGATGATAAAAACATCACGCGCCCATCATTTGGTACTAAACTCCAATAAATTTCATACAAAAAGAGTCTTTTCCGTTTGTTTTTACGCAAAAACAGGCTTTCAAAAAGCTCACGGTGACCACAGTGCAGACAAACGATAAAGAGTGGCGCTGTTGTCGCATTTAGCTCGGTCTCGGTGGACGCCAGCGGCCCAGGTTTCGACGGCGAGTTTCACAACTGAGTGTTTTAGTAACGTTGGTGCGTGACTAGGTCGGTAAAATGGCGTCTATGCATTAACCAAAGCTACGCGCTCGAGCTGAGTGACATCAGATTGCGCGCGCTTCAAAATGCATAAAAAACGATTGGGCGGAAAAATGGCTGAGATGTCACCACTCAAGCAAAAGCGCGCGTGTGTATGAAGGCACTCTATGGGCACTAAAGCCCCTCGATGTATTTGCGTTTGTCTTGCAAGTAGCGTCAAGTGCGCGGGTGCACGAGGCCCGTGTCTCGAGCGGCCCTTGGAAGCAAATGGCGGCGCAGCACTGAAATGAGCGGGCCTTGGAAGCGAATGGCGGCGGAGCACCCGCTCGTGGCACGTGTCTCGCGCGTTTCCACAACAATGGTTGGCGGTACTTGTAAAAAACGCCTTTATCAAGGGGCTTTAGTGGGCACGGTGTAAGACGCAGGAGGCAGGCAGCAGTGGACAATACGGCTCATGCCGCCTCATGCTCCCCACGCGCAGAGCTCCAGCGACGTTGACGCACGTGCAGAAAGACCGCGGTGTACCGGGGTGTCATGGCAACGAGATAATTTTTTTCGCTCTCACACAGTTTCGCCGTTTAGCCGCCGGCGACACTGTCAGCCGCGGGCACGGTGGCCACGGAATGATGCAGCCTTTCGGATGTCCGTCGAACGAACGCTATCGGATTCTTCGAGCAGCGCCTTCAGCTCCACCGTGTCCTCACCTAATGAGTGTATCTTACACCGTAGTCTCCACCCGCATTTGGACAAAAAAAAAATCACCCCGTGCTTTATACAAAACCATGGGTAACCAAAAGCACGCTTCACCAACTTCAATCTGAATCTCGAGGCCTTTCTTTGCGCTAAGCGCGTGTTAGTGCTATGTTCATTTAGTTTCATAAAAATTATGCCATATTTCGTAAACCAGCTAACTGTTTGGAGAAGTTTTAGGGCGCGCAGGCAACACTGACATAACGTCGTTTCGCCTTAGCCATAACAACCCGATCCAATCTCTGTGTATACGTACCGGGACCCGCATCTCCCTTCCGCACAGTACCTACGCTCCCGTGTTGAACAATCGATCCCACTCATCTCGGTTTCTTAATGGCCTTTGGTCCTGATCCCGGGTTCTCTTCTCCACATCGCGCCTAGGCGGTATTTAGTCCCTTCACTAGCAGACAAGCAGACGGAGCCGCCGCGAGGACTCGATAAACAGACGGCTTCCGCATGATGTGCCTTAGCGCACTGATACGTACGACGCAGCAAACATACCGCTTGATTTCTAAAAGATTCTTGATTGAACCCAGCGGCCTATAGCATTGCGCTTTAGTCCATCGTAGGATTAAAACGGAGTATACCAGTGCATTTTCCGCACCAATAAAAAAAAAACAAAAAAAAAAACACATAACATTTCCCGTGCCTAAAGAAAAAAAAAAAAAAAGAAAGCAGTGCGTTTGACTCAGCGTCTTTTGCATTCGAAAGTGCTAAAAAAGAAAAACGACTGGAACGGCCTTTCCCACAACATCGCTGCCGTCACCTGCCCATTAACGTTCATGGACAATGTAGCATCTCATATCTCCCTCTGAATATTTATGGCAGCCAAGAACTGATCCATGTGTACCCACCACTTATGTAATACCCCCTGATGGGGGGTCTTTAAGGTAATAAAGTGAAGTGTAGCGAAACACATGCTTCACTTTTTATTGCGATTTTGACGTTTTATCGCACGTACCATTCTATGCAAATTAGGTGGTCACATTGACGCCCCAAAAATAGTAGCAAAGTACAGTACTTATATCAAATTCAAACATTCAACATGCACAGTGACAACCCTAGCACGCAGTACCGTACTCACAAACCAGTGTTGTACGGAACGGCGTTCCAAGGAACGGCGTTCCTGGAACGCGTTCCTTTTAGGAGGAACGAAGGAACGCCGCCGTTCCATTTTGCATCGCTGGAACTGGAACGGGAACGCGTTACATTTTTACTGGAATGGAAGAAGTAGCGGCGTTCCTTTTTTCGTCCAGTGGGGTAATTTTTATTTTATTTCTCACAGAGAAAGTATGAAAGTTGTGGTAGGGTTGCCTTGCTGCATGCCCATCCGGGAGGAACAACACGAAGCCGGGGTTTCTCAAACGAGAAACTGCATTTATTAAAGTAACAGGAATGGATTGTTAGTATCAACGTAAAACATTGCCGGAGCGTTCGAACTGCACGCCTCCGTGGCCACGGTCCGTCTTCCTTCCCTGTGGGCGTGTCCCCCTCTTTTATACACTTGCGCGGCCGGACGTTTGCGCGGCCCAGATGTTCTTCACTCTGGGTGGTCAGTAGCGGCCTCTGGTGGTGGTGGCCGGACCTCGCTCCCACAAAGTACAAAAACAATATCTTTATGACGTGCTGGATCTCTTTAACTTTTTGGCTACTAATATTATGGATTATTTTGTGTGGTCCTCGCTTGCTAACAGTTTCGGGTGCAGGAGAGCTGGTGGGCAATGATACTTTTTTGAGTGCCCGGAACTGCGGTACAAAAAGCAAAATTTTTAGTCGTAGGAAAAGACAAAGAAAGACGGTTGTTTCAAACTCAGCTACCTTTCTTTGGTTCCACAAATCCTCATACACCTATAAATCTTATTCCCGACTACAGCCATTTTCGAACTTCAATAACGAGACCTACAATTACAACAAGATCACAAATTGCCAGATATCGGACTCATCCTTGTATCCCGAACATTATTCACTTAAAAGATACACAAAAACAAAACAAAAAAAACAACACCTTTATTTCTTCTCTTGTCCCCTACCTTCAAACTGAACAGCAAATCCAACCTTCACAACGAAGTATTTGTAGCTTTCAAGACTGACTTTCCAAAAGCCCTACCCTCTCCTTCACTTGCTCGTTTTGCGGACAGCAACATCGAGAAGCAACTGTTGTTAAGTTCTAACACAGGACTCCGTTAAATCGAAGCGTGTGAGGTTATTGAAAAACGCTCGTGCAATCTTGGGTAAAAGTACATTTGGCTCGTCTGAATTGTCCACTACAAACATGGACATGGTTAATAGCTGAGATTTATAACATGAATATATCAACAAATGAAATCCTACTTCCGCGTGTTTTCTACTCCTGGTGCCCTTCCATCACGACATAAAAACTCGTATGTTGACTATTAATGGGATAGATAGAAAAAAAAAACTCTGCTTGATTTAACTAAATATGGTAATTAGCAAAAAATACAAATGTAACGTATATGTAACGATGCGTTCCATTTTTTTAACTGTAACGGTAACGAGTTCCTTTTTCACAAATGGAACTTGTAACGGGAACGCGTTCCAAAAATCAGAAGGAACGAGGAACGAGCTTTCGTTCCTTTTTTTGAGGAACGTGTACAACACTGTCACAAACCACCCGTCTCGAATATGCCTGAGTGGAAGATGAGAAAGACAGTGAAATGACAATTGAAGATGATTTAATTAAAACAAAGGGAGAGAAAAAGAACGAGACAGCATGCTTCACGAAAACACACACACACACACACATGTCAAGGAAGCCAAGCCAAGCAAAAACCACAGATGTCAAGAAAGCCAAGCCAAGCAAAAGCCACAGACGCCGAGATCCTGCCATGGCGTAGCATCATGTAAGCCACTCCCTAGTCGAATCAATAAACATCATTTTCTGACATGGTGACAGAAGCGGGATCTAACAAGAAGAAGAAAGAAGAACCTCAGCAGAAACGATACAGCCACGGATTCAAGCGACGGAGCGAAGAAGACGCCGTTAAAACAAGACAAACAAGCCGACGCACGTGAGCGCCGATTCCACAACTATGGAAGGTGGTCCAAAGACGCCGAGGCCTCTTGATCTGTCGTCGCAGTCACCAGACGCCTGAGACGACTGGCTTCAGAGCTACGAATGGTACGCAACACCGATCCAGTTATACAGAAGAAACCTCCCGAAGGTCAAGTAGCGAGCTTCATGACTGTCATTGGCCCAGACACGCAGAAGGTGTTCTGAATGCTCCCACTGAGCGAAGACGATAAGAAGAACCTGGACATCGTAAAGAAACGGTTCAAAAAGCACTTCCACCCGAAAGTGAACCATGCCCACGATAGGTACCGGTTTAATAAAATGAAGCAGAAAGAGTGCGAGACTTTCAACGAGTTTCTGACGGTCGCAAGACTCCAAGTTCGGTGGGCTGACTGATGAACTACTACACGATCGCCTTATCGTTGGCATCACCAACGACGACGTCAGAGAAAGACTGCTAAGCGACCCGACTGTCGACCTGCAGAAAGCCGTGAACCTCTGCAAGGCGAGCGAACAGGCGTCACAGCAGCTCGAAGAAATCGCAAACAAAGAAACGAAGACTGTCGACGCTGTCACTAAGAAGACAAAGCAGCTACCAAGAAAGAAGACTGTCGCGGAGACAAAACAGCAAGCGCCGACTAATTCAGGAAGGACAAGAAAAGCATGCAGCTTCTGTGGAGGATTTCACAGACCAAAAGAATGTCCAGCGTACGGCAAGACGTGTAACAAGTGCCAAAAGAAAGGGCACTTCGCTGCAGTGTGCCGATCATGCAGAAGTATGGTGCAAAACAAGGGCCATGCCATCGACAACCGCGAAGACCCTGAAGAAGAAATGTATGTGTCAGAGCTGAGAACCAAGACAAGCAAGACTGTGTGGCAAGAGGACATCCAGTTCAAGTGTGGAACTAAAGTTGTCATGAAACTGGACACAGGAGCGCAATGCAACGTCCTGCCAAAGAAGAACGTCCAAGCCATGAGACTACATGTGTTTCCTTCGCCAGTCAAGAGAACTGGAACATATAGCAATCACAAGATCCAAGTGATCGGTGAGGTGAGAGAAACATGCACTGTCCGTGACCAGCCGGCGAAGCTGAAATTTCTCGTCGTGAACTCCGACGTGACACTGGTTCTGGGTCAGAACGCATGCGAGCTCCTCAACTCCGTGAAGAGAGTGCACACAGTCCAAGAAACGCGAGATGACGACGAAATATTTCAGGTCATCGATTGCATCAAGAACTTTGTCTATGACGCCGATGTCAAAGAGGAAGCAAGCAAGAAGTTGGAAAACAAGCCACCAAGAAGAGTTCCATATGCATTCATGGATGAAGTCAAGCAAGAGCTCACAAGCATGAAACAGAAAGGAATCGTCGAAAAAATCACAAAACCAACTCCATTATGTAGTGAAATGGTTGTTGTGAAGCAGCGAGGGACGGTCAGGATCTGCATCGATCCAGTGGAACTGAACAAAGTTATCATAAGACGAAACTATCCTCTCAAGACTCTGGAAGAAATTGTTGCGCATGTCAGAGGATCCATGAGGTTCACTTTGCTAGACCTCAAGAGAGGATTTTGGCAAATGCAAGTGTTGGAGCGCACCCACAAGTACCTAGCCTTCAGCACTCCGTACCAGGAGCCTCTTTCCCTCTTATAAGAGGGACAGTGGATGCAACGAGGGAACGAACGAAGCGAAAGAGTACGGCGTGAACCGCGTACCCCGCCGCGGTCTCACGAAACTAGTCCACTCGAGTCCACTCCAGTCCACTCGAGCTCACTCTCTAGTTAACTCCAGTCCAGTCCAAACTAGTTCAAACCAAACCAGGACCGTCCAAACGAAAGACGGCTGCATGCACCAAGGCAATAAATTCTAACGCATTTGAAAATTACAAGCCTTTTGTTGGTAGACTTGTCCCAACTTGCAAAACACACTTACACACAAAAAGCTATTTGCCCGGCGACATATGAAGATAGCCTTTTAGTAACCCGAAAACATTTTGTAGTACTGCGTGTTTACAAGCAAGTTATCTTGTGACAAGTTCATGACACTTGAGCGTAGTCGCGGCGGTCGACAAGCTGTGTTCGACGTGTTTGTAGTCTGTTGGCCTGGTACGACGATCCTCTTGTCAAGTTCGCGTGTCACTAAGCTGCGAGTACAGCGAGCAAGCGTGGTCGTCGAAAAGCATCGCCGCTGAGGATTGAAAGTGCCAACAACACCTAAAAATTTCAAATTTTGTGAGCAGCTCCCTTATCTCTATGGTAAGCCACCACTATAGGATTGATCTAACTTAGCAATTGGGCACAAGCCTGATACTGAGTGTCCTTGGATACACCGGCTGAACACAACGCCCAGCCAAACGCTCACACGGCGCTCGTGTCCAATTTGAGTCTACGCTGGATCTCACTAGGATGACGTCGAAGTCCTTGTGTTCGCGGGTTTTGATTATTCTCGGTGGTGTTGATTGAACCGCCAGTGTCGGGCTCAGCCTCCAGAGTACCGGTGTTATCAAGGCAGAGTTTACAATTTCCTTGGAAGTTAAAAAGTATGCACCCGTAGTAGAGCGCGTTGGGTGGAATACAGTTCACACGGAAAGAATAAAAACACTAAAAATATACGAGGGACAGACACACAAAGTTCTTTGAATGGGCTACGCCATTTAAATGATGCCCATCACACTTTGAAAAAAAAATTGGTCACAGAGAAAATTAAGGGAAGACGAAACTACTAGAAAAAGATACTAGAAAAAGAAAAAGAAGATAGCTGAATTTTATTTATTAGAAAGGAAGAAGAAGAAGAATATCGGCGAAGACTTTTTCTGTGACAACTCTGGCTCTAGAAATTCCAGCTCTGGTGTAGATAACGACAACGAGGGCTCTTAAACATTGTCTGCGGCAGTCCTGATCTTAGATGCTTCAATCATTTCTCGCCCATAGTTCTCCTTGTGTGAGCCAATCACGGTAGTGTTTTCATAGCTATAGGGGTGCAATCTTGGCCGGTGCGGGCGTGGACAACAATTGGATGGTAAGAGTCGGATGGACGCCTTGTTCACTTCGAGAAAGTGTTTCCCAAGGCGAACGTTCAGCCATCGTCCCGTCTGGTCGGTGTATTGGCTACCACAACGGAGCGGAATAGAATACATTGGCTTCTCTTGGCATTTAACGTATTTGTTGGAGTGCTTGATGGTGCATTCTGGTGAACAACTTTCGTTATTCAGTCTTTGGCACGTTTGTTTGAGCTTCATCCTAGATGTGAAAACCACCTTCGTGTCGAACCGGGCGCTGACTCTTCAGGCGGTGCGACGTATTATGCGCGTATGGAATGCAAGCCGGGCGTGTGTAGCTGCGTCCTTTGTTAGATGAAGGACGGTTGGGTTCTGTGATGAGACGTTGAAGGGTAGTACAGAGAAGGTATGCTAAATACCCGGCTTGGAGAAGTCGGTCATGATGACGTCGGACGCTTGCTGATGAGAGGTGGGGACAGGATTTTAAACGAGAAGAGGAAAACAGGGTTTGAATAATTCGAAGCCTTACCGATTTAGGGTGGTTGCTGCAGAAAGGGAGGACCGGTTTCTTGGATCGCTGCTGAAAACTCCGGCCATATGTCTCACTTCTTCACAATGTCCCCCAAGGCAAAAGAGCGACCAGACGATGAGGTACTTTGACGTTCTGAGTATGGCCATCTTTATTGAATCCCAATGAACGGACATTTGATGCTTAGGTAAACACTGTAGCGCTCGTCTTAATTTATTTAATCAGCCTAATATGACCTTCGTAGACAACAATCAATACTATCGCATTTTTTCGTAGTTTGCAGCAGAGCACCGCAGGAATATATGCCTTTTTTTTTTATTTTCACGCAGCCTAGAATACGTGGAGCGAAAACGAGTGCACGAGAACCCAGAGGTGAATAATGGGTCTAATCCCCACTCTTGCCAGTTTTGATCTATATGAGCATCGTAGCGGCGTGTGATGGACCCGGGCCTGGTAGTATCAAGCCAGAATTAATAGGGAGTCCCCCTGTTATAAGTTTTATAACAGACCGACCCCACGTTGTTTAAGTGTCTGGAGTCTAATTTGCTTGACGTTTAGACCTATAGTATGTTGCAACATAAACAACAAAACTGTAGAAAAGGCTTTACATACAAAACACAAATTCTGCCCAACGCCCAATACGCCAAGGCGCATTCGACATTAGAAAGAGCTTTTCTTTCACGGGAGTCAATTTAGGAAAACGTCCCGTTTGATCACTTCTAGCATCCTGTTTCATCAACGAACGGGTGTGTTTTGAACGGGTGACGAAGTGAAGAGATTTCTTTTAGGGAATTTGGGGCAGTAGCCTCTTTTGCACTTTGTATGTTTCAAGAACTTGTATTTTCGGAATCTACACTCTAAGAAATGCCTGCGCGTCTACTTACCCGCCAAACACTAGAAGAACCAATCTCTGCAATCCACGAAATTAGCTCAGTGAATGATGAGGCGGAACATCTGTTTAGAACTCAAAATTAAGTCTGCGCTGTGGCATTACGCAAAGCAAGCATGACGCCTTGCATTGCGTAATGCCACAGAGAAGACTCCATTTTTAGATCTAAATGGATGCCTCATCACTCGCTGAGCTGATTTCGTAAATCACAGAGATTGGCTCTTTGAGTGTTTGGCAGGTAAGTGGACCCGCAGGCATTTTTCAGAGTACACCGTAGCCTACTGCTGTGTGCAGTCCACGTGATCCGCGAGAAAGTGGAGCAGTAACAGCTTAAAGTGTATATGTGCAAGGTTTTGTTTCTTTAGGAAATTGACTAGGGCCCAAATGCGATGTCACAATGAAGGCTGATTCATGTAACCACCTGTTTGCCAGTTACGTTGAACACAACTAAAGCGGCAGTCACGACGAGTTACCGGGACTACCGTACGCCATGCAGCAAGAGCAACCGATGATGGAAGCAGTTGTGTGCTTTCATCTTTCCGGCGACAGGTTAAGAGCCCAGTATAGATACTCTGCCTCCGGGACGCTCTCTTTTCCCTCCGTCGGGCGAGGAAGTGTTATCAGAGACAGGAAGCTTACTCTCGAGTCGGAACTTGAACCGAGTTCTTAACCTGACATCGAGTACAGACCGCTGATTGGTCAGTCCGCAAGCGACGTAGCCTCGCCCACGCACTTCGTTGAGCCGGTAGCCAGGAGGCACGCGGGTCCCAATAGTCCAGGTGACTCTGTCGTTGCTGTCGTTTCAGTTGCTGTGGAACACTCACCTGGCCGTTGGGTTGCAGGACAACTCCACAAACACCCTGGTCACGGCGCAGGTCCTCGAGGAACTCGTCGAGATGGAGGACCGCAAGAAGCGGATCGACAGACTGGTGGACCACGACGCTCCGGAGAAGAGAAAGCGTTCCCAGGAGCAGGCAGCGGGCGCCAAGAAGAAGAAGGAGGACAACGAAATCGGCATCCTCTACGAGTTCCTCGCCAGTGCCACGCAGAAGATCCAGAGCGCCAAGTGCGAGCGGGAGCATCTGGACACCAACGACTGCGACGTCATGTTCCTCCTCTGCCTGAGGGACAACATCAAGAACCTCGGCGCCCAGAAGAAAGCCCTGGCCAAGATCAGGATTCAGCAGATTCTGTTCGACCTTGAATTCCCGGACACCTAGAGGAGCAATGAGGCCATGGTTTCACCCGTTCTTAAAGCCGCCATTAGGTTGCTCATACAGCATACAAGAGACGCGGAGTTTCTCCGCAGACATCATGACATAATTATCCGCGGACACGCGTCACGCATGTTCGAAGCATGTTTACTTCATACATGCCTGTCGTTCAAACATGTCTAAAGAGAGTTCTACAGCGACAGCTTTTAGTGGGAACCTTCCCGGAGAATTGCATAGGTTTATAGGAGAAGAAGGAGCTGGAGGGGAAAATTACGCGATCGTGCATAAATAATATCCACCCACGAAATAGTAGGGAAGGAAAATCCGAGTGACAGGTCATTACTACAAAAGTATTACAAAAGTATACCGACCATTTTTTTGTGGCTTTAACAGTTACGAATTTTTATAAATTCAATTGCAAGAAAAAATTGTGATATTCATTTAATAATAACAAGAAAGTAGATAAAAATAACCAAGAAATAGACTGGAAGGAAACTGCTATGAACGAAACCCAGAAAAAAAAATGTACGAGATCAGTATTAATCTGTTCAAACATATTTACGGGAAAACAACTAAAATATGTGCTATAAATATCTGCAAGGAACAGAAGAGATGAATAACTAAGAAAATTGGTGACTCAAATAAAGTCGAAAAAAAAAGCTTCGCAACTGCTCAAGATTTATCTCAATAATGAAAAGTATTAAAATATCATCGGTCAATCAGGAACTAAGTGACAACCTTTATAGGGAGCGTAAAGAGAAACTACTATTGAAAAAATTTTGAGTGACAAAAGATACTGCAGAGTGCTCGTCGTTAGTAAAAGAACTATTAGGATGAAAAAGAAGCTCAATCGAAGACACAATACAGACATATTTTAGTTCGAATCATGACTTTGAAGCACTGGCAAATGTTTTCAGTAGCTAATTTATACAATCAATGGACCGTTATCACAGCCAGTTTCATTACGCCACCGCCGCCGCCGCCGTGCATCGAGGGACGTTAGCCTTTCTCACGGCCTTTCTGCACGAGCGACAACGCCACTGAGTGTCTGTGCGAGAGTAGCACGAAGCTGCACAACCTGTCTCATGAACAGGCATAGCCTTCTCTATACTGACAACGCCTGGCTGATCGCCAAGAGAAGCGGCCGCCGAAATGGGAAGAGTGGAGCGGCAGACAACGGATGAGAAAATATCCACGTGACTTGCGCCTCGCTGCGGCGAGACGCCGAAACACACTTCTCCCGAGCGAACAAGTGTGTTTCAGGACTTCGCCGCCGCAAAAGCTGTGCGCTGACGTCCAGGTTCACCTAGGTTCACCCGAGAAATGGCTCTTTGATGCTCTGTGCTACCAGATCCTCGCGCTCCAAATCTGCGACCGGGCACTCTACGGTCGCAGATCATCGAACTGCCAGGCTTTGTGAGTATAGAGGAGGCCATGGAACAGGATAAGACGTTTGCGAACATGGTGTCCCTCCCAACGTGTGCCCCGCGCGTGCAAGCACGTGCAGCGTGCGCGTGATCGTAGCTTTGTTAGGCTTGAAGTTGCACGTGCTTGCTCACACAAGCGGGAACATGGCGGCGGCCAGATGCCTCGTTGTGCAATCGGCTATGAACTACGGTTATGGCGGCGTTACGGATGCGTGGAACGCTTAGCGAGATCGGTCATTAAAACACCTTGCAGCTGACCACCCTAGAGACAAAATGATCAAATAACAAGCAGTGACTCGATATTTTATTTACCTGATCTATAAGCGAGAACGATTTGAATGAAATTATGAGGAATCTCAAGATTAGAAGGTAATGGGGTTGAAACAAATAAGAGCTAGAGATATTGCACGTAATATTTAGGTATTGTGGAGAGTTCAAATACGACTACCGACTCCGACGGTGCTCAACTTAGAACCCCCACCACGGGCCACACGCACCTCGCGCCCCCCCCCCCCCCCCCTCCCCCCTGCGAGCCATCTTTATTCTCTTTTTCAGTTCCCCGCAGTATTAAAACCTGTATTACCGCAGCTATACAATCACGTATTCTCTACTGGTGTCATTCCTGAAATGCTAAAAGCATTGCTCGTTAGGCGAATATACAACGAAGGCAAGAAAAACAATTTTCCTAATTATTGGCCAGTATGCTTAATCTCAGTATAAACTATATAATGGAAAAATACTTGAACAAAACACTCGAAAGTTTTTTTCTTTTTACAAAGAGAGACATAGTGACTCCCACGTAACATAGATTCAGAAACAAATTTAGGAACCTAGATGTTCTTTTAGAAAATGTTTTTGAATAGGTTAATGAAAACGTAAAGAAAAACATATATGCTCGCTTTATTTATAGATTTCACAGGAGCTTTTGAAACATCGAGTTACGACATCTTACTAAATGGGCTATACATATTGAGTGCGGATTTTTAATTCCTAATCAAATAATGCTGCAGCTGCGGATGATGATGTTAAAGTCAAAGTTATCGCAGACTAGTGTGCCCCAACGCGGCCCATCTGCAATATTCCTTTATCTACAGGAAGTATTACAGGAAGCATGAAGGTAGCTAGGGTAGTTGTTTTACACAAAGAAGACACTCTTGATAACATTAACAATTACAGGCTCGCACCTGTCCTTCCACTCTTATCTAAAGTGCTTGAACATGTAATAAAAACGTGGCGAAGTAATTTTCTTTTTTTAATGAGAAACAAGTGTTTGTTAAGGAACAGCGCGGATTTTAGAGAAACAAATTTACGAAAATGGCGCTGGTAGACATTAAAGGAAAATTCTTCAACAATTTATAAAACCAACAGTTCACTGCTAAATTGTTTTTAGATTTTGAAAAGGCCTTAGAAACCATAGAACACAAAATTTTGTTTTCTAAGCTCCTATTCTATAGAATTTGAGGCGCTGCTCTAGACTTCATTCGTAGCAATTTATCAAATCGGATGCAATACTTCTGTCTAAATGGCTATCGGTTCAAGCGTAAAATATTTACATATAAGGGATCCGCAAGAATAAAATTTGAAACCATCGTTTTTTATCATCTATAATAATGAAATTGTAAATATCCCTCAAGCTCCTCATATTATTTTTTACGCGGACGATAAAAGCCCGCTCTTTTCTGGTAATAATTTGCATGATCTTGAAGCTGCGGCTAACTTATGGTTGGTGAGTTATTGGTCTGGCTCTATTCAAATCAGATCAGGTTTAAAGTTCACAAAATTAAATATGTAGTATTTAAGTGACAAAACAAATTCGATGACAGCGATATTTCTTTTAAATTCTGAAGTTGCATAAATTATCAGGTCTCTATTCATAAAGTTTCAGTTGTTCTCCATTTATTGCCACCTTATACAAAGTTAGATCACCAATAAGCTGGCTAATGCTTCAGTTAGATTACTCTTTATTGCATGCTCATCTTCACTACTGATTGCTACTTTGGGGTTCTAAAACTAAGACATGTTTAGAAATGCTTTCGATCATGCAAAAAAAGGCAGTACGTTGCATCGAAAATTCTAATCGCGTAGGACATACAGCCCTTTATTCTCTAAAACACGATTTATTTAACATTAAACAATTGTTTCATCTGAAGTTTTTCAATTTATATACAAAATAACACAATTGGGAATCAGACAGCCTTTTTTTAGATATACTGTCGGGGTAATATTGAATATATTTCGAGACATGATCCCTATAAAGTACCACGATTGAGGACAACCTAGAAGAATCCTAAATTAGAATATTTAATACCTAATTTCTTAAACAATCATACAGCTACTATGGGAATATTACAAAAAAGTGTGTTTTTCATTATACCTTCAAAAGCGATGTAAAAGTATATATTCTGACTTCTCCGACTATACAGGGTGATACAAGGAGACGGTCTTCAAACAACACGGCGCCGTTTCGCACGGGAGACAAGAGATGGCGCAAGCGGTCGCGACGACAACTGTCGCCAACGAACGAGCAGACGATGCCGAGAGCCGGCGTATTTAGCAGACAAGGAACTGCAGTTCCTTGTCGTTACCGCGCCTGTTTTTGTTTCTGCGACTGTCGCCGCCTGCGGAACGCGCGCCGCTTTTGAGTCGAAAATATTGTCTGCTAAAGAGGCCGGCTCTTGGCGCCCGTATGCTCGTTCGTTGGCGGCGTTCTTTCCGCCATCTCTTGTCTCCCGTGCGAAACGGCGCCGTGTTGTTTGAAGGCCGGTGGCGTCGCTGCGTTTCCATAGGAGGTAAGCCTTTTTCTTTCTTTACTTTTTCCTCAGGTAAGTTCGCTCCTAAAAAATTGTAAAAAAAAAAAAAAAGCGCCATTTGTGGGCAACGCTGCACAAAGTCGTAGCGCGATAGGTTAAGAAACCGAATTTTCCGGTCGATTTAAAGAGCATGGCGTCTCCTTGTATCACGCTGTAGTTTGCCACTTTTATTTCCACATGGAAATTGTGTTTAGTATTGTAAATGTATGTTTAGTGCTCTCAAATTTCTTGTAGCCACTGTATAAATATGACATGTAGTTTTCTTTCTTCGTGAATGTTACACTAATAATAATCTTGTGCTATTGTGCTAGTGGCTTCTGCCAATGTTTTGTTTCTTGATACTTACTGCTTGTATTGTGTTTTCCAGTGCTAGCTGACACAATGTGTTAGGGTGACCGGGCCTCGTCAGGCAAAGTGTATCTGCCTTCTGCCTTGTTGACTGGAGATATTGTGTCCAAAACAAATAAACAAACGTAATAAGCTATGACTCGTTTCAAAATTACCTAACAAATAAAAATTACGTGGTACGATTGGGCTCCAAATACAGCAAAAGAATCGAAGTTAAACAATCAGTACTCAGGGTACAGCGCTTGGCCCACTGCTCTTTAATTTATACGTTTATGAAGTCATTCAAGTAAAGCTAAAAAGTAACCCTTTTTTCTGCAGATGACGCGGTAATAGCATAAGCGGACAACAATTACGCACTGGCAGGAACAGCAATACAGGAAGACCTTTACGTACTTGTAAATTGGTACCGAAATAATAAAATAATAATAAACGCTCAGAAAACGCACATCATATGCTTTAACCCCCCCCCCCCCCCCCCCACACACACACACTAAAGAAATAC